TTAAACTAGCGTTTCCAATGAACTCTCAGACATAGAACTCTTTTATTTGTGTCTGTATGTGGGTGCCATTTCATTGTCTGTAATAAAAATGCTTAGTTCATCTTTTCTATGACATTTTTTTTCTAGGAATTTTAGGATTTTTTTTTAATGAAATGGGTTTATTGGAATTTCTTTAACATACAAAGAAAGAGGAAACAAACACTGGTTAAGTCAAATCTTCTTCTTTCGGCTGTTCCTGTTACAGCAGATCATCGACCTCTATCCCACGCCATCTTCTGTCACACCAACCCTCTGCACATCCTCCCACACTACATCTGTCATGGGGTGGAAAAATAAAATTTTTACTTCTTTTTTAATAGCTTGTTTTTAAGTAATATATTTAAGTTGTTTTATATTCTGAATATTTTTGTACTACTGAACAGTTGTTTTATAAATGAACAATAAATACTTTTGGGGGTGGAAGTTTTTTAAATGCAGAATAATATTTATATCATATCCAGATGTAAATGATGTGATGCGACTATGAAACAACAACATGTCTCCAGTTGATGTGTGTGTGCTGTCTTACAATGGGTCATTTTATCAGAGTCATCAAAGTCAGGCGAGGACAACGTTCAAACCACAATTTCCACCCAAACACACATCAACACAACCTTTGCATGACTTCAGTATATCTGTAGTATCTCCTGAACTCTATATTGTATAAAAATGCTTGACAGCACATGCATTTAGAAATGACAAAGATCTTTAATGTGTAAACAAAACTGCTTTCAAAATCTCCTTCATAGGTTTTTGCAGATCTCCACTTCTTTGTTTGCTACAACCAGTTATATAGAAGTGACCCATCATAAAACCCCCATGGTGTGTTGCAAACTCTGTGTTTGTGTATGTATGTGCGAGCATGTGAGTGTCTGTGTGTGCGCGTACCCGTGTGTATGTGTGAGTGCACATGAGTGAGTGTGGGTGCGTCGTAACAGTTAAAGCACTGTGTATGTGTGTCTCTGTGTACGTGACTTTCTGCCGGTCATAAAAGTAATCTCCTCTCTCCCAAGCTACACCAAATTCCTTTACAAAACATACAAAACACAGTTAACAGATTACAAACACTGAGACCCCCACTCTGCATCCACTGGGCCACTGGCTTCTTCTTGTCTTACATTTACAGATAAGCATGTGGAGAGGCTCCTGCAAACCTACTTCTAAGTTATAACAATTATGAGGTACAAGCATCAGCATCAGCATCCCCCAACTGTAGCTTCCTGTCTCCTTTCATTACAGGCAGACCCCCAGTGGCAATAAATTCCTTTCCCTCTACACAATTACACACACTCTCAAGCTTACAGCTAAGCCAAACTGAAACACACAGACAAATCCCTCCCTATTCCTCTGATCTACTGATGGACCCTCTCATCTAAGCAAATTTAACACATTATAGTCTAATAAATTGTGTTCTTTTACTCACAGTAACAACACACATAGTACAGTTTACACTTATATAATTTTAAAATAAACACATTAATGTAAAAGAACCAGAGAGACGAGTCACAAGGTGCCCTCTGCCCTTAATCTATTTTTATGTTCTTCCTTTTTCTTTTGATTTTCACCTTATTTGGCTTTTTTTGCGACCAATCCCAGAGGACCTCTGTCTGCAGCTTAGGGAAGTTTAAAGTAGATGCTGTGGTATGACTTTCTAACAAATAGGTACCAAACCACTCCCACTTCTTCTTTCTAAACTATTTTCTCACATTAAACTTGTGCTGATGTTAAGGTCAACTTTGTTATTTGGCTTTCTCATGCAACAAGTTTAAAAGTTTAAATGATGAAAGTTTATATGCCAGATGACAAAAAGTCATTGATGTTTAAAGAAATTAAACATCAATTTGCATATATGAGTTTTCATTTTTGCTGCACCTGGCTTTTGCATGCAAATTATTGTCCAGAATAGAACTTTGGGTCT